AAAAAAAAAAAAAAAAATCAATCAATGATGTTTTGGTAGCTGGAATTTTCACTTCATACTTTGTATTGGTGATCATTCAAATTCGTTCTCTTCTTTTGTACCTTCCTAAATCTTTAATTTTTTAAATACTATTTTACTCTTAATACCATTTAGTCTAGGTTTACTGTTATTTTATTTATATTGTTTGTTTATTTTCAACTTTTCTAGAAAAAATTAGTCTTAGGATTTTGCATATAAAATAGGTTGAAAATATATTTACATTATATCTTTTCTAACATAATTATTTTTATTATTATTTTCTTGAAACTAACAATTGAACCTAATTTTAAACATTATTGTAAGCTTGAAGATGTAAAAATATTAAAATAGCATAAACCAAAAGTAAAATAACTAAATTGATCTTTTAACCTCACTTTTCTTTTTAGTACAAGTAGTATGGTATGATCATATTGATACTTATGGCGTTGGAAATAAGTTTGTGAAAAAATTAATAATTTAAAGTTTTAAAGATTGTTTAACGGAGGCGTATGACATTTTTTTTAATTTGATTAAAGATGTATTTTTTTAAAAATGATTTAAAAAATTGGATTAGTTTAAAATCTCTTTTTTCTTTACAGGAAAAAAAAAACACGGGAATTATAAAAAACAAGATTTTAAATGTTTAGACAAAAACCCTTTGAATATATGATAAAAAAAAATTATTTAATTAATAGGTTTGAATATAGTAAAATCAAATAAATAAACTATTTATAACTTTTTTTTTTTTTTTTTTTGAAAGTGTTTAAACTAAAACTAAAAGGCATTCCAAATGGTATATAGTGCTTTTTAATTGAGATGTATTTAAAGATGTGTTTCTATTTTACTGGAACGTAAAATCTCCCATTAGTTATTTGAAGCTTTACTTCCTTCTAAACTTATAATATATTTTTCAACACTCTTAGCAAATACATTTAATACTTATCCAAATTTCAAAAATAAAAGTTTGGCTAAGATTGTATTAGTATTCATAAAATGTGACAAAACAAAGAAACATATAAATAAAATTAGTGTTTATAAGTTACAATTTAAAAACAAAAAACAAAGTACAATACTTAGTTATTAAAAGAATCTAACTTGGGTATAGTGTTGACACCTTATTCACTAGCATATATTCTAATTAACTTTTTTCAAGCTCTTGTAGCATTGATTAATATAATTCTTTATTTACTTTAATGAAAACAGTCCTTACCTAAAGGAACGATTTGAGTTAAAAACTAAATAAATTTCCACCATCGTAAACATTGATACCAGTGAGCTCGAGTTGAGCCGCGTTGATCGCATCGACGACATCCATGTTCCCCTCACTCAGAGCTTTATCCATTGGACTTCTATCGTGGCTATAAAGACAAATATATCGTTCAGGACAATTTTCAATCAAGAAAGATAATTGAAAAAGGTTTGAATTTGATCCTCCTAGTTAATGTAGTAATAAAAAATGACACAACGTACCTGTTCAATAGGCTCTCATTTGCTCCTGCCAAAATCAACTTCTTCACCACCTAGAAGCCTGCCAAGTGATATAAAAAATTCAAAGTCATGTATGCTCCTTTCGTTACCGAACCCTTCCACTCGTAAACATCTTCATCCAAACTACTCCGTTCTAACTGTTTTCTTTTATCAATTTTCTAAGTACAATGTACTCGTTACACTAATTCCTTTAATAGGCGGATTCTGTGCAAATTCACATTCTTGACAGAATTCTAGTTATTATTATTCATACATTTCATTGGCCTAAATCGGAATGATGTGTTCTTCATTTCATAACATGACCTTGCAATAACTTGAAACTGGAGAATGAATACTCTTACCAAGACTATTAGTTCAGCAGAGTGTTTATTATGCCGTCGATTAGAAGACATTCAAAATTCCTAGAAATCAACAAGTTATAACTAAAATCAAAAGCTTCATCGAACCACAGATATTGAATAAATTCTGAAAGAGACCGAAACAGATAGCTACGACAATGAAGTCTATACACACATCCGTTTCTTGAGAATAGTTCGAGAATATTTACCAGGTGAATTTTATAGGTTTCTTGTATTTTAATGCGCATTTGTTTACGCGCACTAACAAAATCGTAATAGATTGATATGAAGACAAGGCGATGCTATACAATGAAAGGAAAAATGAAACGAACCAGAACTAGAGGATTGCACATCAACTAGAGCCTCGATTTCATTCATCATCGTTTCCACGGTGCTCTGTTCTTCTGCTGGATTCGCTTCCACCACCATTGCGCTGCCGCCGGAGACTCCGAAGAGAAGAATCCTTGAGAATCTGGACTGGAGGATCATCCTCACAATCTCTCTTTCATGGTAATGAGAGAGGGCAACAGAAGAGATGAAGAAATCCTAAATCAGCGATTCTCGGAGAAAAGAGCGAAGCAGTTACTGGTTAAAGCGTAGAGCGAAGCTTTGTGAGAGTTTGAGACGCAACTGCGCGCCTCTTGCAAAGCTTTTACCACGTCACCCGACCCGATAAACCGACCCTTTTAAACGGGCCGAAGGTGGTAACTATTTTATGGGCCATGAACTAGGCCCACCAAATTTGGGAATGTGTTAACTACAAAATGGGCCTGCGGCAACTATTGATGGGCTCAAATTTGTTCAAGAATCAAATGAGCGCCACTTATGCAGATCGAACACGTGGACTAATCACAGTGCGCAACGTGTTCATTTTATTTTCTTTCTTTTTTTACCTAATTTCTTAAATACTACGATAAATAACATTATTTTTCTTTACAAAATACTTAACACTATTTTTGGGTCATTTTTCCTTTATTTTTTAATATTTATTATTATTTTTTTTGTTTTGTTTTATCATAATAATTATTAGAAACATTTGTTTATAAATATTTTTGAATATATATTTGTAATTTTTTTGGGATTTATTTCCTTTTATTTATTATCTAACATTTTAATATTTTGATTATAAGTCAGCCGTTAAAAATAGGATTTAAAATACAGAAATATAATTAATTAATTAATTAATTAATTAATTTTGTAAAGGGTGGTCAAATCAAATGGAGGCAAGGAACCCTAGGAATAAATTTTAATTATAAATGAAGGGACTTCAAATCCACAAGTTCTGATTTTATTTGCAGAGAACTCTTCTGGATCGCCGTTAGAGAATATTCTCGAGCATCTTTTTTTTCTTCTCTTTTGCTTCAGAATAATTCTTCAGCATCTCCTTTCATTTCAAGTTTCGATTTCTGCTGAATAACTGTTGTTCTGGGTTCTGTGTGATCTAATTTATAAAGCGAGAAGAATCGGAGGTGAAACCCTCGTGTTCTCGCCATGGCTTCTTCGGGAATCTCTACTGAAAGCGCCGAATTGTCTGATGCGGTTCAAATACTGGAAGTTTGCAACCAGGTTTTAATCTATCTTTTCACTTCCGAAGTTGTTACACTTCTTGCGTAAAACTTGGCGCGAGAAATGGTTGTTTTTGTGTTGAGAGTTCGAATTGGAAGTATCGTTGATCTAATCTTGTTTTCTAGATTTGCGCTGGTCAAGGGTTAATTGAAGTGTTATCGTCGGTTTAGTCTTATTTTATTTCATTTTCAAGATTTTCGTGGCGTCGATAAGCGTATTTCTGCTTTTTAATATCAAGGAAGTACGTGTTCTAAATGAAAGGATTTGATGTGCGTGTTTTCTTTTTTTTACTCTGAGGACCCGTAGGAAGCGGGAGCTATTGTTAACATTCATTGATTTCCGTTATCCGATTGCCTGCTAATAGATCACTGTTGTTTTGAAATTGTGAATTTGGTCACCTGCGCATGCTATTTTATTTTCCAATGAAAGTTCTTAACTCCTGCCCTTGGCGTTGCATATTGTTGAAGTGTCTGTTTTCAAACATTAGTCATTTGCATAAATGTATTTTGAGGATTGCTAAGTTGCTGAACTTCTCTGTTCAGATTGAAATGGGAAAGAAGGTAGAGATTCACGGAACGGGGCATGGGAGTCATGATGGGGTTTGTGCAATTTGCTTAAATAAGATAGCTCTCCAAGAAACTGCCTTAGTGAGGGGTTGCGAGCATGCCTATTGGTTTGTTCTGATTGATTAATCTTTCATCTATGTATTAATAGTTTTTATAGCACGACTTTCATCTGCTTTACATTAGGTAATTTGTTGATCCGTTCCTTTTCTGTATTTTGTATGGGAATCTTTTTTGCAGTCATATGTTGACGTTCTATAGATGGTGCAATTCTTATGCTGCATTTATCATATATATTTCATTTCATTGTGGTTCTATGCTTGAATTGGAGTTGGAGTTTTAAGATCTTGCGAACATATTCCTGGGACTCCGCTAAACTTTATAGGAGAAAATTCATTGTATCCATATTGCTATTGGTACAATGTTTCTAATTGTGCTTCAGGTTGCTGGGATTTAATGGAAGAGGTATGCTATTTTAGATTTATAGCCCAAGTATCTTGGAGTCGGAGAAAATGTATGGTTCAGAGTCTGATGGTTAATCTGTTAATTCTCGTCTTATTTAGTTTGTTAATAATTAATTATTGATTATTGAAGTTAGAATGCTTGCTTGGTGAGACTGGGATAGAAACCTGTTGTACTCGGTACTCAGTGACTTATTGTGAGCCTGTGAATCTTATAGATGTCGGCTTTGGTAACGTGTTTGTATTCTACATAGGTTGGCTACTTGTTAAATCGGACACATATCAAATACTGTGTTGAACATTTATGGAGTGCAATAGACATGAATCAGACGCATCTCGAACAATTATTAGGCATTTGAACTAAGTATTGAAACATATGTTGAACAAGGCTGGGATGTTTAGAAAATGTCAATGTCCGTGCTAGCGTCTATGCTTCTTTGTTATTAGCCGATTACTCTTTCATCACCTCCAATTTGTCATCACATACTCGAAGCTTTTGGTGTCGGTTGCAAAGTTTAATTTTATGTTTTATTACTTGGTGTGGGAACATTTCCTCTATGACTATTGCAGAGAACACTTTATTTAGTTTTCACTTTCAGCTTAGGATCTTATCAGTAATAATTAAACCAAACAAAAAATGAAGTGGCAAATGGTCAAGTGAATTGTCTATTGTTTTCCAACCACTGAAGTATTACAAATATTTTCCTTGCTTTTTTTGAGGAATAGTGTGATCTTTTACAGTTTATACATATGGGCATTATATTCTTTTATTAATGCATTGTTTTACTTTCATGAAGTGCGACTTGCATCCTTCGATGGGCCTCATATAATAAGAATCCGACGTGTCCACAATGTAAACATCCATTTGAGTTCCTGATTGTGCATCGTTCTCTTGATGGGAGGTATGCCTCTTCATCATTCTATGGACCTTTTATAGTTTAGAGTCGCAGTATCATTTTAAATTAATGTTCTTACTTTTCTATCCATTTACTGTCTGCGTATTGTAGCGTCCATGACTTTATGTTTGAGGAGAGCGTATGCTTGCTTCTGAGAGCTTCATGGTATGTACCTCTGATCGTTGAAGATCGGGAAGAAACCTATGAAGATCCTGATGAGTACTACCCTTATGAGGATGACGACGAAGAGTTTGAGGAAGCTTACCTGGGTGCATCGTCGAGTCTCCGCATCGGCAATCGAAGGTGGGGAGACAATGGATATGTGAGGGGAGGTCGACAAGAAGCACGACCAGTTATTAGGTCAACTGTTCCAGTGCATGCAGGAGCTAGTTCATCACGTGAGCCTATAAAAAAAGATGCTTCCAAAGATAAAACAGGTCGACGAGCTAAAAGGGCCTTGAAACGGGAAGCTGCTGATAAAGCTGCAGCAGCTAAACATCAGGAACATCTAGCTAGGTTTGGGCGAAAGTGATTCAAGTTCCTGTATATAACAAGCCTTGCGCTTAGACCCTGTGTACAGTTCCAAGATTCAATTTACTTTCACAGTTGAAGTACCTTACCTCCCCTGAGCCTGGTGGCTCCCAATTAAATCTATGGTGGGGACTATACTTCAAGGTATAAAGGACATCCCAATGAGTTCTTTGTATGAACATCGAATCTCAAAATCAATCATAGAACAGTTGTTATGGTCGGATTTTCTGTTCTTTTTTAGATGAAGTAGTCAACCACTTTCATATGTGTGCAAGTTTTACGTGAAGGACACCAAAAGCCTTTGAGTTGTAGCTCAAGTAGGTGAAATCTAAGGCATTGGACCTCGGTGAATTGTAGCTCAAAGGATATCAACAGCCAACTTTAGACTCAAACTTGAAGTCCAAGCACATTAGTGTACATGTGATGTGGTTGGGAAGTAAATCAACTTTTCCTCTAAGATCATGGTTTAATAAAAAATCATTCTTTATTTTGAACTTTTCCCTTAAGAATATCATCAGCCCCTTGGAATTTAGAAGTTGGGAGTTTATCCTCCACATGTGACTACGTTACGAAGATACAAATTCCTCTCCTTGTTTTCCTTGTTTGAGGAACTAAAGAGAAGAACGAACTACAGTAGTCGTCAGTGTTAGCTACTGATAAAAGATTTATGAGACATTTTGGTCACGGAACCAAACCGAACCGAAACTGTAGTTTAATATGATTCAACTGAAATAGGCTAATATAAACTCAAATCAACTTATCAACTCAAATAAACGAATGAATGAATCTAAAATAACTCATTCTCATGAACAATCCTCCAAACCTCGTACCAAAAAAGGAATACATAATCGCTTGTCGATCCTCACCCTTATTCCGTCCTTGTACCTTCAATTCAAACGACCCGATGGGTAGTGTTTTAATAAAGCTCACCCTTCATAATCAAAGAACAAAACACTCATCCTCATGTTAATTTTCTTGTGTATCCATAAATTAAGAGGATTCTAAGGATCAACACACATCCAAATAACCACCAAGAAAAATTCAAACAGCTGATCCTTTCAAAAAAGATAAACACATGTCCAAACATTTGCTGCAATGATTTTAACTATTAGATGTCTCTCCCTTCATCAAAAACCTTCAAACCAATTTATCTCTACCATAACAACTCATCTGTACTGCCAACCAGAAAGAATACAGAAATGAGGATAGGAAAATTCACATGAAACAAATAGAGTACTTACCAAGCTTAAATATGTAACAAAGCAACAAGAATCCTGTAAAAAGTGTCCACAGAGGCAAATATTCACATATTCATACATCTAAAGGCACAATTGTGGAGTAGCACGGTGTAATAATATTCAAATAGGATACTACCATGATTCTCATTTTTCATTTCATTAGGAAATCCTTACTTAGCTAGCAAGGATTTAGTAGCAGAAGCCTTTCCCATTGGTCCATACATAAGGGTTCCTATGGTAGCATAAATGTCAACCCTACAGCCACTACACTAGCAGTTACCAGAAATTTAAAACTTACCAATGTACATTAATGTGTTACAAAATAAGGCAATGGGATTTTGTGTATATATATATATATGTACATGAGAGATGCTCAGGTAAAACGTAGTGATGAAGAGAAATGGCTCATACAGTAACTACTGAGTATCTATCACATTTTGGGATGCTTTTGTTCAGCTCTTTGCGAGTTCCAACTAAACCATTTCAAATTGCTAAGCCATCCAAACTGAATTGCAGGTTGGTGAGGGAGAGACTGAAGCTGAATCAGATGCCTTCTATAAGGAATTAGAAAATTCTTCAGACCTGTCACATTTACAGAACATGTTTGGAGTGATGGTAGTGAAAATGATTTATTTATAAGTGAATTTCATATAATCGTTTTAATGTTTGGCTTTACTCCTTCAAACAGTGTTCATATGATGAAATTTGATTTTGAATGATTAACAGCATGTTTGGGAATGATTTTGAACATGACAGACCTTGACCATTTCAAAATCACGTGGTGTGTGGAAATGTGGCATACAAGAATCAAGACACTTACAAAAGACAACCCAAATAAGTGAAGCTCGGGCGTACCTGAGACACACATGGTTCGATAAAGAGTAGCAATATGAGCATCTCCCTTCGTAGCCATATTAGGCCTTTCTAAGCACTCGAGAAATGCCATATCAGCCTTTAACAACTCTCCTTGACTATGAGTGTCATAACCAATATCATGGCAATAACAGCAGAAATCCAGCCAATCAATTGGTCGTTTATCCCAAACGAGAGACCCATTGTCTTTCCCACTAGACCAATTTGGACCACAGTAATGTCCATAACGCGGAAACAGCTGAGAAAAAAACGCTCTTACACCAGTATGCCATGGAACTTTACACACATATGGCTTGAACCGTAAAGGAGCTTCTCCATCACGGTTCTCAGTTCGTCTACCACGTTTCACTTGCCTTTTCAAGTTCCTATTAATAGTTGTTTTTGCTAGAATGATATCTCGGGAATTGGCATTATCTTCCCAAGGAAGAAACGAAAGAAGGGAAAATCCCCAGATCCTGAAATCAAAACGAGTATTTTGATGGCCTTGCTCCCCAATGGCGTCAGAAGATTTCAGGATTGGACCCAAATCATTGCTTTTTTGGGCCCAGAACCATGGAAATTTATGAAGAAATTCCAAGTTCATTGTCAAAATCTCAAGAACTCTTGGTCAAATCACATAAAATGCGCACCATAACAAACCTGCCAAGCATAAGAACATCAACTATCAACGTCAAATCGTCAACCCCTTCAATATTATTGCAATCACCACCAGGTTAACAAACCGAACAGAAATCACAAGAGAAAACAGCGCAACACCTTAAAAGCAAATTATCGCGATGCAGACGAAGAATCCATAAGAACGGTAACATATTCAAGAATAAAATTCGAGAAATCAGGAAAATGGTAGTAGCTCTGAAGTAAAATGTGTTAAATTCAAATTCAAGTCCAGTAAGTTTAGGGCGACAAAATAGGGGAAAATTAACCAGGAAACTTGCATTCAACTTACTACATACGCTCTTTTCTCGAGAGCCAAACAGATTAAATTCCTAATGGCGAAAAAGGTAAATGAAAAAGGATAAAGATTCTCGAGAGCCAAACAGATTAAATTCCTAATGGCCAAAAAGGTAAATGAAGAAGGATAAAGAAGGATGAAGAATTACACACAGAATCCACGGAGTGAGGAAGAGAGTCGAGGGAATCCGTCCACTGCCAAAGTAGAAAGAGAAACCAACCAGAGGATAACTGAGAGAAAGTTCTAGGTCGAAGATTTTCCCGAGAAAATGTTGGTGTCAATTGAAAATTTGTGGTTACTTTGCAGATTATCCCGTCCGTCGCAAACCGACCACAGTCCACAAGATCCATCACCACAAGTCATCGCCATCTACTGGACCCGCAATCAGCAGCTGTAATTATCAGCCCAACTTCAAAATCCTGCTTTAATTTCTCAAACAAATTTTATAAAATAATAAATTAAATCCAACTCAGATATATTTCTATTCAAAATTCCTTAAATATTAATAGAAAAATTATCCATTTATTTATTTCTTTAACATTAAATTAAGATGGAAGAAAATTCATGAAATAACTTAACTAATAAAATTTATTTATTTATTTAAAATTACCTGATAGCGTGAGATTCTATACAGATTGTAAAGGAAATCGTAAAATCTCACCGGCTGAAGAGAAGGATAAAATATTTTTTATAAGAGCGCAGAAACTATATAAACAATATTTGTTAGTGGTGAACTTGACCCGTTATATTAACTTAAATAAATAAATAATCCAACTTCAGTTAAATAAAATATATGGAGCTGAGCTATTATAATAATAATAAATAGGTTTTTTTAGTTTTATTAATTTTTTTAATAGTCTTTTTAAAATATAATATAATTTTAAATTTTAATGTGATGATTCAAAATTAAATATTATATTTTAAAATATTAATATGAATAGGTGGTTTAAAATATATATTTTTTATTAAAAAATTGAAAAATAATATTTTGGAGTTAATGGAAGTAAATATAAATCAACTTAAAAATTATTTTATTTAGAAAAGAGAATGTAGCTCTCTAATTGAAAAATTAAAGGATTATAATAAATAGAGATAAATAAAGAGGATAGGACACGACTTAATTATGAGCAAATTAGAAAGATAAACAGTGGGACCCACCATAATTACAATATCTGAATTTTTATATTTTTAGTTTGGTAATTATTTCATTTTTGAAAAAAAATTGTAATTTCTTTAGGGTTTCATCTAATATATATTTGAATTTTTTGTAGTTAAATTCAAAAAATAAAAAACTATAATTTTTAATTTTTAAAATTTACTCAATTTAAACAAATACATGTAAATAATATAATTGATAAATATAGAGGTATACAAAAATTCAATTTAAAATAAAATAAAATGATTAGTGAAGACTGAAAATAATTTTTTTAGTTAAATTCAAAAAAATAAAAAACTATATTTTATCATTTTTAAATTTTATTCAATTTAAAAAAATACATGTAAATAATATAATTGATAAATATATAGGTATACGCGATTTGATTTAAAATAAAATAAAATGATTAGTTAAGAAATTACATGGTTGATGAAATAATTTTTTAGTTAAATTCAAAAAATAAAAAAACTATATTTTATCATTTTAAATTTTATTCAATTAAAAAAAATACGTGTAAATAACATAACAGATAATAGGTAATTCTATAGATACACGTAATATGTATAAACTTAATTTAAAGTAAAATAAAATAATTGGTTAAGACATTTTATCGTTCATAAAAATATTATAACAAAGCAATTTTAATTTGTTTTATGTTTATTTCATTTATATTTTTAAACTTTTTAAATTAAATTTTTATATACAAAGTAATTAAATATTCTTTTTGCTTTTTACTTTATAACAAATCAATCACGTGAATTTGTGGAGGCATACTGACAGGTAAACACAAGCATGTATTTAAGTCAATATGTAAGACGAGAATTGAATAGATAAAAAATAAATGACACGACACAGTAATATACTCGAGGCATTGAATTTGTCAATCTATTTATTAATTCCAGTCTAACCTTAAAAAAAAAATAAAGAAATGGCATGTTTGTGATTTGGTTCATACTCGAGCTCCAATCTAACCAATAGTTCTTTCCTTTTCAAGTTTTGACAGCTCTTATTCTTCTTTTAAAATTATTCTTACTTAATAGAGCCAATAATTACTCTGGTAAGTTATGTTCGAATAAATATATTTCAAATTAGTAATTAGACAACCTAATAATTAAATTTGTCACATTATTAGTTAAATAATACAATTAATCATTATAAATAATAAATATTAAATTGTTGAAGCTGACAATGTTACCTTATTTGACGTATAATTAAAAATTTAAAAATATTGAAAAAACACCATTTTTATAAGTATTTCAAATTTATTACATGTAAAAAAAAATTTAGACGTGTAATTTTGATAGATTTTGAAGCTTGGGCCAAAGAGGTTGCTAAACTCGTGAATCATCGTTCCATTCCAATAGATGAAGAGTCAAATGTAGGGTTGACAATCAACATTCTCTTGGAGAAGAAAGAAGCGACCTAAGATTCTCACATCAGGTAAGTTTGACCGTTTTTTACATCATTCTGATCCACTCCAAAAAAGTCAATCGAACAAAATTTAAGAGCTCTCTCTCCTTTAACCGAGCCATCAGATTCTACCACATCTTACTACTTTAGTAATCCACACTATATAATATAAAGAAAGGAAAAAGAAACGAACAAAGGATGGGTTAAATACGTAGTTAAACACTAAATTCATGATTAAATTGATACAAAATTTTAAAACCATTTTTTATTTATTTTCTATACTTAATTTAAAATTTATAGATATTTGTAAAAAAAAAATAAATAACATTACAAATAAACTTACGAGTGTACATTATAAGTTAAATATATATATGTTTATAAATTTTAAAGAATATTTAATAGATTTTTAAATTTTAAATTTTATGAATATTTAATTTTATATTTCATAAATACTATTTTATTAGATATAAAATTATATGTTTACCTTTTAAGTTTAATAAATATAAAATTACAATTTTATATAACTATTAATTATATATTATATATTTTGAAAAAGATGTCTAAGATGTTGCTTACAAAATTGAAACCCTTTTAATTTATTAATAATTTTTTAAAGTCGATTGAGTTTAAAATACATATAATTTAAAGTTTTAAAATCAAAAGAGAATTACTTTTTCTAAAAAAGAAATAAAGGACTTCCTTTCAGGTCCCAATTCATTTCCATTTAAAATTAAAGGCGTCTATCAGCCACAATCATATCCTCCGCCAATCATCACCGTTGTCGTGGTATAGTATCCTACGGCTGAGATTTACTTTCCAATTTCCCAAAAGTCTATAAGCCCGTCAATTACTGTCACGTTTCCCTCGGATCAATTACATCCAATAACAATGAGAATCTTATTTAGATAAAATGAGCCTGTCCGCATTGGATCATTTTCTTCGTATTATTGTCATTTTATTCTAGAGCGCTATACGACGAGCCTTCGAACATTGAAGGGAGGAACGCGGGGCATTGTCCAGAGACTACAAGTCCCGAAGGACGAGAACTGAAACTCGTCTCCTTCTCTTCAAATTTCCCGGCCATAAATTCATCCAATATTGTATTATGACCTCATGGACCCGCCGGTTTTCCGCCGGCGCCGACTCATTCGGCGTTTCTTTTCGATTACGGCAACAACCGCGAAGCTTGGCTGAGGTTTCTCACCTCAGCATTTACAGGTACGCTGGTTTACGATCTGGTTGCGGATGTGTAGTTCTACGGGCGCCGAAGCACCGGCGGCTACAGGCGGCGGAGCCGTCGGCAGCGTGGGATCGATCGGAGAGTGGAGAGGAGGATAGGGTGAAGCCTTGTTCGTACGCAGTGGGAGGGCAGAGGGTGGAGGATTTGGCGGAGGGGAATAGCGGTGAGATCTTGGAGAAAATTAGGGCGGAGAAATTGAGGAGAAGTAATCGAACGGTGGAGATTGTGATTGCAGCCGTGTTAACGGTGATTTTCGGTGTGGCCAATCGGGTGCTGTACAAGCTTGCTTTGATTCCCCTGAAGCACTATCCGTTCTTCCTCGCACAGCTCGCCACTTTCGGGTACTTGCCGCCATTTTCTCTCCACCTTTTTCTGCTATTAATCAGTACCACCTAATTTTTCTTCAATTAATTCAAACATAATTACCGTCGGTTTATATTTCCGATATCTGAATTTAATGCTTAGACTTGTGGTTGTTCTTGAAGTTCGTTAGGTTGGGTCATTTCTGGCGATCTCAAATTAAAACCATCATTGTTTTTGCCCTTTAGTTTTCTAGTCCAATAATTGAAGGGGCTGAAGAACAATGTGACGGATGCTTCCTATCCCACGGTTGTTGTGGTGGGCACATCCCCCCACACGCCTCCATTAAATATTTTCCCCCAATTAATAAAATTATTTCATCTAAATTTTTAAAACTTTCCATAATATTTTTAAACATTCAAAATTAAATAAACCCTAATTTTTACTATCGTTTTTTTATTTTTTATTTTGGCGGACAATAGTTAGTATTTTGTAAAAAATAAATAAAATAAAAATACTATTTTTAAGAGTATAAACATTTTTTTTTTAATTTTCATATATTTTTTTAAAGAGTATTAATGTTATTTTTAAAATATGTACCAATTAATTAGTCAATTAATTAGTATACGTAATTAGTAGAGTATTTTTTGACTTTTTAAAAAAGTTTAAAAATTATTTTTGATGTTGTTAAGGGTATTAATAAAAATTTTTAAAAGTTAGAATAGTATTTTTTAAATATTTTTGAAAATTTTTAATTTTTTTATTTTTATTTTTATTTTTATTTATTTATTTATTTTTTTTTTAAGTTTAAGAGGATTTCTACCCTAAAATATGTACCCGTTTTTTTTTTTTTTTTTTTTTTTTTTTTTTTTTTTTTTTTTTTTTTTTT